GTAAGAGTCTGTGTGGCATGTTCACTGTCACAGAAGAGAAATAAAGAGTTCCTGTTTACGTCACGTTGTCACTTTTTCACAGCGGAGTTGTGTGAAACTTTACTTACCATGAATAAATGTTAGGAGCAGAAACACAGAATTAGTTTCATGACTAAACATCACTTGCTTCACTGTAACAATGAAGTCCAATGCCATCCTTGTAAAGCATTTTGTAGCAGCACTTTCTAAATAAAGGTAATTGTTACAAGACAATCAGACAATTTGTGCTGTTTACAGGCAGCAACATTTAAAGCTTTAGATAATTACAGATTTCTAGATGGTGTCACAACAACCAGACCGTGACCTTTGGGCCTCAGTACTCAGCACTGCTGTTGCCTGAATCAGTACCGGTGGTGGTGTCACAACAGTTCAGCTGTTTCACAGCCGTGAGAACTAAATGTTTAGAGGGACAAATGAGCAAAAAGGCCTTTATTGAGAACTATTTGGAAGTAAGATCTCTGGCTGCTTTTTGCCTCATAACAAACCAACATGGCCAACACAGAGTATCGTACTGTGTGTGATTTAAACTGCTGCCCTATCTGATATGGGCTCTCTCCTACGCTGACTGGGTTTATACCACAGTTTATACTGGTTTTAATGCCACTCTGATGTTTTTGTAGACTTGGACTCTAAAGCTATGAGGACGTGACAGTGTCCTCAGATCATATCCACACAGACACTGGGACTGATGAGGGAGAACGGTCAGCTTCTTCTCTTCAAATGTTTCCTCGTCACATGAAAGTGGAAGCTGTCTGAAGTTGACCTGAAGTGACTTCAGCAGGTGAGAATCCTACCAGATAAATTTGTAAGTGTCTGATGAACAGCACGACTCTAAACACACTTTGCTGTATCACTGAGTGAACCGGAGAAATGTTTCTTGATGCTGATTGGCTGTTTTAAAATACACCCCGAACAGGCTGCAACGACTTACAAATCATTTAAACCCTATGTTTAAATGTAAATAGTACTTTTTTTTTTCAATTCAATTTTATTTGTATAGCGCATATTTACAACAACAAGTCATCTCATAGCGCTTATAAATAGTACAAAGACAATTGTTCATGTGTTAAAGTTGAACAATGTTATTAATTTTTTAATGAATACAATAAATGTTCATTTGAAATTTGATACCAGCAACATGTTTCCAAAAAGTAGGGACTCTGCTACAAAAAAGTTAAGGCCGTGCTTATGCAAGACATTGCCAAACCACATTGTGCACAGATTCCAACTGCATTGTTCCTTAGAAAGTATGTTCACCTGTCACCCACTGAAAAAAGGGAAACAAAATACAATAAAGAAGAATTGTTCAGCAGCTGCAATCCTTTATCAAGCCAGAATCAGAAAACACCACTATCAAAACTGCAGCACTTGGCTTTCAATTCAATTCAAATAACTTTATTGGGGCAATTCAAATTTCTCAGTTCCCCAATGCTTCCAGTGTGTTTTTAATAGAAGAGCTCTTGCAGCACAGAGTTAAACATGATTCTTTTTGATGCACGTGCAACAAGAACAACTTCCCAGCTACAGGGAAAGTACTGATTTTTATCAATGATGACTTGAGTTTGTTGCAAACAAGAAACTCTTGTGGATGAGTTTGCTGAGTTTGTCTCTCATTTGCTCATTCTCACACACAAG